TGGCCCCACGCGGCCTGCGCACTGTCTCCCCCGGGCCGCGTGGGCTCCCCTTGCGCTCTCCCCCTCCTTTTCGGTTCCTCCCGGCGACGGGGAGACACTCTTGATGCGGGCGGGGAACTTCTGGTCGATGAAGTGCTCAGGGGCTGTTCTGGTTTTTTCTTTTTTTGAGTCGCAGTCTCACCCGTCGCCCAGACTGGAGGGCAGTGGCCGCTGCCGGCCCGCGCAGCCTCACCCTGCTGGGCTCCGGCGATCCTCCCGCCTCGGCCTTCCAAGGAGCCGGAACTACAGCTGCGCGCTACCACGCCCGGCCGATTTTTGACTTCTTGTAGAGATGAGGGCTCACCAAGTTGCCCAGGCAGGCCTCGAACCCGCGGGCTCGGGCCATCCACTCACCTCGGCCTCCCAAAGCAGCATGACAGGCTGCGCTACCGAGCCTGGCTAAGGGGCTGTTCTTGCATATCAGAATAAACTATGACCACAAATTCTTTTCCCTTGAGTTTCCCTTTTATGTTACGCGAGAGGGCCCTCTACTCCCCAGTTTGGAGGGCTGACGCTTCATGACGTGTGGAGGCAGGCTACGTTCATTGCCACTGAATTTCACCTCAGAACAGTAAGCGGCGTCACAGACCATCTGTTGTGAACGTCAGACGGTCTGCTAGGCTGGGAACCGCAGCTTTAAAGGCTTAAACCCTCTCTCGCCTCAGGACCGAGGCACATCAGAGACCTGGCATGCCCCCCCAGGTCTCTGATGACTGCTAAGCCTCTGGGCTTCTGCTGAGACCTCACTGACGTGGAGACCGTGGGGTCTCCTTTCCCACATTCCCACGGCGTCCTGCACTTTACACAGCGCTTATCCCACCTGAAACCGAACTGTTCACTGTTGTCTGTTCAAGGCTAGTCTCCACTAGGCAGTCAGGTGCCCTGAATCCCTATGAACACCACGCCCCATGGCAGCCGGTGCTCAGTGAGTCCTGGCTGGTGATGAAGATCCAGACAGACGCACCGGAAGCTGCGTACCCAAGTACACACAGCTAGTGAGCAGGAGGGCCAGGACCTCAGCGCACAGGTGACAAAGGCCCCAGACGCATTCACTCCCAATTCACGCCACTCCAACTAAAGTAGCCTCGGGAATTCATGAGGCAGGCCAGGCACGGTGGCTCAAGCCTGCCATTCCGCACTTCGGGAGGCCGAGGAGAGAGGACTGCCCGAGTCCAGGGGTTTGAGACCAGCCTGGGCAACTTGGCGAGACCTCATCCCTACAATAAATCAAAAAAGTAGCCAGGAGTGGTGGCACACGCCTGCGGTTCCAGCTACTTGGAAGGCTGAGGGGGAAGGATCGCCGGAGCCCAGCCGGTCGAGGCTGCGGTGGCCGTGAGTGTGACACTGCACTCCAGCCTGGGTGACAGAGCAAGACTCTGACTCAATTAAAAGCAAAAGAATTCACGAGGCAAAGATGGCTTCCCTTTTTAACACCAGAGGTAAACCAGAAGTGAACTGCCTGTTCAGGATTCTCCCCCATTTGCCGCAGAGTGTGACGCTGGAGTCCAAACGCCCAGGTCGGTGACTCATGGCTTCTCCGCAGGCCATTTCTTCCGACACCTTCTCCAAGGCCTGACCATCAAGTACGTGAACTCGCCCTAGGAAAAGTGCCACACACATCACTGCTGAACGCCACCGTGGTCACCTTATTGAAGTCCTCCTCTTGGGAAGCTATGCACCGACACCAGTGCTGAGTCCACCCGCCAGAGCAAGGCTGGACTCTTTTTCTGGAAGGGCCATCAGAGCTGTCGCTACATTGCTCTTGATGTGCTGAAGGTCATCAAAATGTCTTCCTTTATCTTTGGGTAAAGAAAAAAGTCACTGGGGGCCAGATCAGGGGAGTGGGGAGGGGGTTCCCATACAGGTATTTGTTTCCTGGCTGAAAACTCCCCTCAGATGGCGCTGTGTGAGCCGGTGCTTGTCTTTTTCGCACACACCTTTCTCAGGCCAAGATCTTCAGTTAAGATTTTCCTGTTTCTTTACCAATGTTTATTTGGTCTGCTATGCTTCTCACAGTTCGCCAGCAAGATGGATGCACAGCTCAATGCATTTTTGCAATGTTCTTGTCTGTTCTGCTGGTCATCCTGAACTCTTTTCACCAGCGATGCTTTCTCTGCCCTCAGAAAAATGTTTAATCCACTCGTACACTGCCATTTTCTTCATGGCATGACCCCATAAAGCTGGTCGCTGATTTCACTTCCACTCTTGCCAAGTTTAACAAGAAATTTAATGTTTGTTCATGGCTGTAATTCAAGCTCCGACATTCTCACGACAGCACACAAAAACATGCAACAATGAACGCCACTCAGTAAGACACCGCTACACACTGAACACAGCTGCAAACACAGCTGTGAGATACTGATACACACCAGGGTCATGAGACCTTACTGAGTGTGTGTACAGTGCTGCCAACAGGTCGTTTCCCGACCTGGATGCTTTCGTGTGGCCTCGGTGCACGCGGAAATCCCGAGGATGTGCTGCCTGCCCAAACACATAACCATGGAACTTGTGTCACCCTGGCCGCACGGACCGGGCAGACGCCTGTGGTCCCAGGGCCACCTTCCCAGCCCGCGAGGCAGGGCCACCAGGTGCCCACCGGCAGCATGTCCACAGGCCCCCAGGACGTGCTGGCAGCTCGGCAGGTCTCATGCTTTGAGGGTGCGGCTTGTAGGTCACATCCCGAAGCCGGGTCCCCGGGCCCTGCATCCCTGGCCTCTCCTCTGCGGAGTGCTCGGGGACGATGGAGCCAGGGCGGCGCCAGGCAGAGCAGGCAGGCACAGGCACGCTGCGCCGTACACACCTGGAGGTGAGTTGCAGGCCCCTGCTCTCTTGCTGTGTGACTTGGGGAGGGGACCGTCTGGCCAAGCCTCGTCTCCTCGCCGGAAATGGGGTGAATGCTCTTTCCTGAGCATCGAGCAACAAGCCCAGCAGCTGACACAGAGCCGCTGCTCAGTAGACACGGCCCCTTTCTTACAAAGGAGCCGGTGTGTCTCCCCGGTGTGACACCACTGACTCTCTGCACAAGTCACGCAGCACCTGCCACCTCACGGCGTGCGTGCGGCCATGCTCCACATCCCCGCCTCTTCCTCATCCAGCCGGGCCTCCCCCACACCAGGCGAGGTTGCCCAGGGAGGGCCATGGAGCACAGTGACCGGCAGACGCGTTGGGAGCCCAGCACGCCCAAGCCGCGAGTTCCGGCGTTTTCTCACACACCGCCATGCCAGTGCTCTCACCTACACCTGCGTTCGATTTTCCATCTTGCTGATGTATGAGATAAACCAGAGGTAAGTTCCAGCTGTGATGAGCAACAGTTTTAAAATGAGTATCTTTAGCCGGGCTCGGTGGCTCAGCCTGTAAAGGTGGCTCGCGCCTTTGGGAGGCTGAGGTGAGTGGCTTGCCTGAGCCCGTGGGTTCGAGACCCGCCTGGGCAGCGAGACCTCATCTCTACAATAAATCAAAAAATCAGCCGGGCATGGTAGCGCATGCCTGTAATTCCGGCTACTTGGAAGGCTGAGGCAGAAGGATCGCCGGAGCCCAGCAGGCCGAGGCTGCGGTGGCCGGGAGCGGCCACTGCACTCCAGTCTGGGTGACGGAGTGAGACTCCAACTTAAAAAAAAAAAGAGTACCTTTAGGCGGCTGGTTCCTCTGCCACGGTGGTTTTGGGGCATCGTGGACACAGCAGGGGACGCACAAAGACTAAAGCAGGGAGACCTCCCACGTGAACAGACACTTGGTTTTGTGAACTAGAGGCCCCGCTTATGGCTGACTTGGTTCCTACATGGCTCAGGGGTCCAGTATGGGTGGCGAACGCCTACACAAACGGAGCTGGAAACTGAACAGACAGATGATACGCAGAGATCAGAATCGGCATCCAACAGAATCACCTGGGCCACACTGCAGGGCTGAGTCCGAACAGCAGCCTGGGGTGTCACAAGTCAGCGACCTGCAAGGACTCTGTGGCCCGGCCCTACCCTCTTCCGAATCTCGAAACACAAGGCGCCGCCCGGGGCCATGCGGGAGAGTGCAGCGGAGTTACAGCCGGACACGCAGGGAGCCTGAGGCCTGGCCCTGCGCTCTTCGGAGTCCCAGGGCAGCGAGCAGCCCCGTGGGAGGATGCCTCACGGGAGGACGGCGCGGGGCTGGGGAGAGGGGGCCAGATGGCGGCCCAGGAGAACCCACGGCTCTGCGTCGTAAATGCTCGGGGATGTGCCCGCGACAGGCAGCGGCGGGTGCGGGGAGCTGCCTGGCACGGCGCTGGTGGGGCCCCCTCGGCCCCAATGGGAGGGGCGGGGAGTCTCAGAGCAGGCCCAGGCTTCAGATGGAGACGCGAGCAGTGTGGGCTGTGGGCTCTTCACATCACAATCCACGTGGGGAGGGAGCAAAGGGACTGTCCCAACAGACCTGTGGAAAGACTTTGAGCCTAGACCATGGGACGACGAGGAGAGACGATGGGCACGGGAGGAGCCCAGGCTTCCGAGGGTCGCCGGCTGTGACTCCGCTGCACCCTCCCGCATGGCCCCGGGTGACGCCTTATTGTTTCGAGATTCCGAAGGGGGCCGGGCCGGGCCACAGAGTCCTTGCAAGCTGCTGTGAGAATCACTAGTCACACTGCTGGCACGGAGGGCCCTTCTTCCTGCTCTCCGAAATGCAGACTCATTGGCCATTACTCTGATAAAGATGAGTTAGCCAGGTTTTTCAAACTGAAGTCATGAGACCCCAGGTCCCTCCTCGGCCTTTGAAAAAAGAACACAAGAGCCAGCAGGAAGGCAGGGATTCCTCTTCTGCCTCCGCTATGGATGTTTGCAGGACAGACATGCTCGAAAACACTGCATCACGCCGTCAAACATACTTTTTACCACATGTCACATGTGAAAACGTTTGAAGAACGGGAACAGAGACATCAGAGGGAGCACTTCTGATGGAAAACTGAGATGAACGGAGGCGTGGCTTTTTCAGGACACTCATGCAAGGTTCACACAAAGCTTCTGCAGAAAGTGAGGTCTGTTCCGGAAATGGACAGAACACGCAGACATGTTTCCTGTCATGTTGCTGCTGAGGTTCACTGTCTCGTACACGTCCTTGCAATCGTGCTTGCCTTTGCTCGTTCCAGCACTGTGTCCATTTGCAACAGAGGACCCCAAACACCCAGAATTCTCACGGGGGGGCAGGCTCCTCGTGGTGCAGGCTTCCCCCTCGAAGTCAGCGTCCCAGAGCCCACCAGCATCCGTGTACCGGCTAGCATTGCTGTGAGAAGCTGTATTTGGCTTCAATGAGTTTTTGGTTTCATTGTGGGTGGTTTTTTCCAATGCTTTTGCCCATTTCCTGATGGGCGATTTACACAAACAACCTGCCCAGGACCAAAAACGGCCTGATTCCACGCCCTACTCTCCCTATTCACCTGATCTCACCCTGAGCAACACTTCTGTTTCTCCAGATGAACTAGGTCCTCAAAAGGAAACGTTCTGCTGATGTGGAAGAGGTGAAACAAAATTTGGGGTTTTTTGGGGGTTCTCCCTCATAAGACTATCTTATAGCAAATGATGGCAATCGTTTTTTATACAGCAGAAAAACAAAGCCTCTTAGTGTTGGCTGACTTTGAGCTTCTTTTGTCCTCAGCATCTTCATATGGACCCTTTTACAGAAAACAAGAGGGTCAGGAGAAAGGATGGCTCTTCTGTCTTAAATTTCTGTTGTTTTGACTTGGTGGAAAGACAGACTCTCTCCTCTCTCCATCTTTCCTGAGTCTTCAGATCACAAGGCTGCGAGGAAGACATCGCGGCCATCGTGCAGCTACACGTGCCGGGCACACACAAAGCGACAGCGGGAGGGGAGAGCGCTTGGAAGCTGACCTGGAGCCCCAAGCTAGCGCCCCGCCGTACCCTCCCATCGTGAATGGCCAAGTCGCCCCCACGTCGGAGGGCGTTTCTCGCCTTCCGTCTCACTGTCATCCCACACACAGTGGTGAAACGCAGGTCTGCGCCTGTCCGCGGCACCGTCTAGGAACACACATCAGCATACAGGTAAGAACATTACACCACGGGCATTCGTATTTCCAAGGGGAGTCTGGGCTGCCCTCTGAGGTGACTTTTTTCTGGTCTAACCATGCAAGTGCAGAGCAGGAAAGACTCGGTCTGGCAAGACCAGGGCTGAGACTTCCGAAAAGAGCAGAGACTGCTTGGGACTTGGGAGTGACTCGGGCGCAGGCTCTGTGCCCTTGAGTCGCAGCTCCTCACCACGGCAGCACCCGAAGTTGCCCTGTGGATACAGGGGCCCTTCAAGGACGCCAGGCCCTTGGTGGAGTCATGTCTGCTGAGCTCGCGCTCTGACGCAGGGGAAACCTTCACAGAGGGCAATCAGCACTGACCACAGCCAAGGCGACCACAGTCCACTGAGCACCTCTTAGGTGCAGAGCAATCCAGACCCGACCTGCACACAACAGTCTCGCTGTTCAATAGCGCCCACCAATGCTGGAAGGAAAGGAGCAGACAGGTAGTGCACAAGGTGCTCAGGGGTGGAGATCTCTGTGGTCTGAGATGACCAGCCACGGTGTCCCGCACAAGCCAGGCTTTACACTGAAGCAAGAGTAATGCCTGGGACACCAGGGAAGGAAGGGACACGACCCTTCCAAGGGGGAAACTGTGCACGGACCTGCAGTCATGGACCGAAGCGGACACGAAACACCATCTTTGTAACCTGCCTCTCACACCCCAAATTGCATAAGAGGAACAGTATATCCTCCTCGCCTCAAAAAGCAAGATGGCCTCACACAGCAGAAAGTGACAGTCAGCTCTCTCCCAGCTCCCATTCTCGAAGCCCTGCCTTAGAAAGCACTTCCAGCAGCTGTCTCTTCCCCACACTCGTATCTCTCGGCTCACATGCAACCCTGGCGCCCCACTTCTCTTCCATCTGCGTCTGGAATGGAAGGTCTCGGTCAGCTGCAGGCTCAATAAGAAAAGTCTTATTACCATATCGCACAATATCCTTCTAAGACCTGTAGATGGTAGAAGAGAAGGCCAATAAAAGATCTGTTGTAGCACAACTTTAGTGAGAAAGATGAAACACTGGCCCATGAGACTATTAAATAAACGACTGCCTTCTGTTATCGGAAAATGAGCGACCAACGATGTTTTAACTTGAATTTTAATGAAGCTGACGTGGCCTCTGGAGGACCCACAGGTTGACACGGCTCATGACTCTTCCTGGGACTGCCACTGGCCCTTGCCCCATCTGGGCACTGCGCAAACAATCCGCAGAGAGACCCAAGCGAGCGCTCTGCTTGCGGAAACTCGTGTGTGATGCCACGTCCAGCCAGAGGAGGGCATCGTTTTCCACCTCTTGGACTGTTTTTGAATTCCCCCACCTGGAGGGCAGGCCCTCTTTTGCCAGCTCAAAACCTCTCCGACGGGAGCTGGGGTTTGGACCCTCCTCTCGTAAATAGGCAGATGCGGCTCTCGGTAAACAAGCGAAACAAGCGAGACACTGGAGAGTGGATCAAGCGGCCTCCACTTAAGCCCACTGCTTCCAGCTTTGTCTCTGCGTCAGCACCACCCTGAGGCCCAGCTCCCGCGCCCGCCTCGGAGGGGTCAGGCTTACCTCGCTCTCCTGGGGTCCCGGGCACGCCTGCGTTTCCTGGGAAGCCTGGCGTGCCAGGGGGTCCTTGCTCGCCCGGGGTTCCAGGCAGGCCTGGTCTCCCAGGCTCCCCGGGAGGCCCCTGGACCGTCCGGACGGAGGAGGAGTGGCTGGGAATCTGGTTGAGGAGGGCTGTGTACCTGGCCATGTGACCTGCGGTGGTAAAGAAAGTCATGGTCAGCGACCCCAGGAGAGGAGGAAGGGACTCACCCATCGGGGCTCCGAGCCACTCAGCCGGGCGCCCACAGGGCAAGTGCTATTCCCCGGGCGTGTTTCACATTTCACTTTGCATGACGGCAACGGCTGGACTGTGTTCAAGCCGCATCTCACACGTTTGGAACTCCACAGCCCCTGCCAGCATCTCAGGAAACACCACGGGGCGGAAATCCTGAGGGTCTGCTTCACCCTCAGCGTGTGTCAGACCCCAGCCCTTGCAGGCTGCCTTCTCTCGAGAACCCCCAAATTGTCTATCTTCCAACCCCCAAACCCCCACCCCCCTACTGGCTCAACCCATCCTGGCTGCCAGGCCAGCTGGGGAACCCCCGTTCAGCCTGGCTGCAGGACCCCCACGAGCTCGATTCTGAAACCTGCATTCTCTCCGGCGGCCCCAACACTCTGTCGTGCCTGGAAGAGCATGTTTAATAACTAGAAGCATGCATGCAGGAGGCACTCAACACCACAGTGCTTTATTGTCCCGGTACCGCAGGGAGAGCAGACTGCCCCACGTGAATGCATTTTCTGGACAACTGTGATTTAGCCCTTTGAAACATGGAGAGCTGAATGCAAACAGTAGCCATTTTTTGAGGAATTCATCCTGAGACATGCTCAATCCACGCTTCCTATAAGCTCTGGGTGAGCAGGACTCGGGGGGCCTTCCTGATGGCACCCCCCGTGCCCACCTCCTCTTCTGAAAGGGCGGTCATCACCTCCCGCTGCCCCCTCCCTGGCCTTGCAGCTTCCCCCATGACCCTCCCCAGCATCGTTCTCGGTTCACGGTGACCTGGAAACCAGTGAGCGGCGCTTTGAGGGCCACACGTTACCCGCGAAGTCAAGTCCTGCGTGGCAGCCAAGAAGTAAAGCAGCCCAGAGAGAGCTGGAGCTGTGTTTGGGAGGTCGGCTGAGGCGCCTGAAACACAGCCCCGAGTGGCCGGCCGGCAGGTCAAGCGCACAGGCCTCTACCCCAGACCGCTCTGACCGCAGGGCCTCTGGCCTCATAGGCAGGCTGTACTCTCCCGTCTTGCCAACACTTGTTGGCTCCCCCTGCCCAGAAGCCATCGCCAGACCCTGAGAATTCTCCAGGAGAAAATACTATTTTGAACCCTTGCTTTTTAGGGTACGCATCAAATAATCAGTTTTTTACACAACATTTTTCCTCTGTACTGGAATAAAACAGCAACTATTGTGAAACCTTCCTCATATGGGGGTCAATGAGTCACACTAAGACGAGTCTGAAAACACTTCCTTAAAACCCTGATCTATTCTTTTTTATTCCTTAAAACCCTGACACTATACATGAGGAATAAGAAATCTATAAACTAATCCAAGATACAAGTTGGCTCTGGATGCGTTTCACTACAAAAGTGACTAGCGTTTGTTTACTTTCTCATTGATAATTGTGTTTTTTGTAGATCCTCATGGCATTAAACTCGAACAGTTACACTGAACTGGTACATTCTCTCTCTCACACACAGTTGGACGCTATAAAATTAAAGGAAGAGAAAATTAAAAGAAGCATCACAACTGTGTCTGGAATCCGCAGCCTCGTGCTTCGAGTGCCCTGAGATTTCTGTCTTGATGAAAACGGGTCCAGGCCATGCAGACCTTGGCTCCATCCTGGGGTGGGCTCAAACGTAGCTCAGCGCTGCAGGTGGAGACCTGGACCCAGCGACAGGGCCTGCTCGGACACTCGCAGGAGCCCTCTGGCCTGACTCTCCGGCTTTCCCAGGTTAGAATGATCGGGGTGGGGGCGCCAGGGGTGGGGCGGCTGGCCAGGCTGCCGCTGAGGAGGAGAGGAACTGTTCATTCCTTCCTGGTCCAGGGCTTCCGGGAACGGAGCCAGTTCCCGAGAACGAGGAGGGCCAGGCTAGAAGCCTCTGCCTGCACTGCTGAGCCCAGACCCCCAGTCTGCAGGCGGGCGCCGTGCAAACGAGCGGGCGTGCGAGGGGACGGCGGAAAGACAGCGCTGTTCGGGTCCCGAGAAAGACGAAGAAGGGGATGGGGTCACGGCAGATGTGTTGGACACGAGTCTCGGCACCAAGCCCCAGTGTCCCATCAGATGTCACGCTGAGCCTCTCCATGTGCAAGTGTGAGTGCGTGTGAGTGCGTGTGTGTGTTTGCGGGAGTCCATATGAGTATGTGTGCATGTGTGTGTGCATGTGAGTGCATGTGTGTTATGCGTGCGTGTGAGTGCATGTGAATGTGTGTGCACGTGTGTGCATGAGTGCGTGCATGTGAGTGGGTGTGAATGTGCATGTGTATGAGTGTGTGAATGTGTGTGTGCATGAGTGCATGTGTGTTCGTGAGGCATGTATCTGTGAGTGTATGCATGTGTGCATGAGTGTGTTTGTGTGTATGTGTGTGAGGTGTGTGAGTGTATGTGAGTGTGTAAACGCGTGTGTTCATTAGTGCATGTGTGAGTGTATGTGTGTATGAGTGCATGTGTGTTTGTGTGCTTGTGAGTGCGTGAGTACTTGTGAGTGAGCGTATATGAGTGGTGCATGTGTGTGTGAGTGTGCTCATGTGTATGAGTACGTGTGTGGTGCATGAGTGCATGTGTGTTGAGTGCATGTGTGTGCGCATGTGAGTGTGAACATGTGCGAGCGCATGAGTGTGTGTTCGTGAGTGCATGAGTGTGTAAATATGTATGTGCGTGCTTGTGTGTGTAGGAGTGTGTGTGGTGCATGAGTGCATGTATTTGTGAGTGTATGTATGTGTGCATGCGTGCGTGAGTCTCTGTGAGAGTGTGCTTGTGTGTGAGTGCATGTGAGTGTACAAACGTGTTCATGAGTGCATGTGACTGAGTGTACATGTGAGTATGAGTGCATGTGTGTGTGTGAACATGTGTGAGTACATCAGTGTGTGTTCATGAGTGTATGCACTTGTGAGTATGCATGTGTGTGTATGTGAGTGTGCTTGTGTGTGTATGAGTGCATGTGTGTGGTGCGTGAGTGCACGCGAGTGTGTAAACACGTGTTCACGAGTGCATGTGAGTGAATGTGTACAAGTATGAGTGCATGTGTGAGTGTGTGTGAGTGTCCATGCGTGTGTGAGTGTGTGTTCTGGCATAAATCCTAAGGACCAAAGGGGAAAACTTTGGGCGGACGGAAGATAACAGATGTCAGATGGATGAGGAGACCCTGGTCTGAATCTTGCAAGTCAGCAACGATCGACACCCTGAGTCTCTTCTGGGGGGCTGCTTCTGGAGGTGGGACCTGGCAGCCTGTTGGGGTTGAGCACTTGGGAAAGGAGCCCCTCCGCGTGAGAGACAAAAGGGACAGGAGACGTGGTCCGGGTGGTCCTGTGGAGCCCACGTGGACAGACAGGTTTTGCGGATCCGAGCTCCCTGAGGAGAGCTCTGGGACACTCGGCAACCACCCCTCGGTGATCAGCGCAGACCATTCGCAAAGCCTGCGGGTCGGCCCAGGACAAGCCTTCGGGGTGTCTCCCCGGCTGGGATGCTCGGCAGGCACCCTCCCACTGGAGCAGAGGCAGGAGCCAGCCGCGGGACACGAGCCGGCCCCACGACGTCGTGCACTTACTCTGGATGAGCTGCTCGCACACCTGACGTGCCACCGCCCTCACCATGGCTTGAGACTGCAGGTCGCCCTGCAAGAAAGAAGCATGCCCCGCTCAGCCACAGCCGCCTCACGGCCGCAGCGGGCAAAACAAGGCCACGTGCGTGCAGGAGGCGTACCCAGTCCTTGTGAGCCAACAAGCCCGGGGAGGATTTCTGGTCCTAAAGATTCTAAAACCTTTACTAGCTCTGAGACAAGCCCATATCCATTTAATGCCTCATTGACAGCTCTTTAGAGCTTATAAAATACAACACTTTCTCAAGCCCGGCCTCATTTAATTCTAACAATAACCCGGAAGAAAGACATTAAACCCATTTTATAGCTGAGCAGTACTAAACACACGGAGGGGCGGGCCTAGGCTCACCCCCCACCCCCCACCCCCCACCAAGAAACGGGATGAGGTCTCCTAAGCCAACGCAGTTATATGTGCAGGCACACAGTTTTGAAAGGAGGAGGGAGGCCCCTGAGGGGAACAGATTGGAGCGCTAGGGCCGGCTCCTTGGTCCCACACCTGCCGTCTCCCTGGGTGCCAGCACGAGAGCGCCACGACACACAGGCGCCTGCTGCAACGTGGCACCCTGGAGCCTTGGCTTATCTGAAGCGAGACACCGCCGTGCGCAGTGTTCTCATCAGATCCGCCGTGCGGGTTGGGGGAGCTCGAGTTTCCGCACTTGACCCTGGAGAAGCGAGCCCAGGGCCGAGGAGGGACAGCAGCAGACACACAACCAGAAACCCGCTTTGCTGGCCTCCAGCCATGGGGCCCTCGCCCTGGAGAACGCTCAGGCCGCGAGATGGGGGGGTGGGGGGGTGGCAGGGAGGCTGCCCCGCCGTGGGGGCAGACCGCCGCCGCTGCCAGTGACACTTACTCGTTCTCCTCGCTCCCCTTTCACTCCAGGGACACCCTGTGAAGAGGAAGACGACACTGCGGTCACTAAGAAAAACGAGGGCGCGTCTTCTTTGATGAAGATGTTTTTCCTAGTCCCAGTTATTCTGCAGCAAAAACGGGTAGGCAGCCGCAGGAGAGAAACAGACGGCAACCAGCAATCTCAGCAAACACAGCCAGGAGGGGCCGCGCCGCCATGCTGCTTCAAACACGCGTCTCCCTGGGGCAGCTCCATCGGCCTTCCCACACTTCGGGCCATGCTGCGTGCCGGTCTCCGCAGCGCCTTTGAAATTCACTTCGCAGGTCTCTGAACAGCTACCTTGCTTCAGTCTCTAGGAAACCGCTCAACGGCAGGAAAAGGCCTCTGGACTCCGGAACTCGAGGGGGACGAGATGAGGGGGGAGCCCCACAGCCCCGCTTTGCTCCTGCCCAGCCCGGCACTTTCTCCCAAGTTCTCCCACATTTTACACAAATTCTTGGCTGGTCCATTTTATTTTATTTCTCTGAGTGAGAGTCTCACTCTGCCGCCCAGGCTGGAGTGCAGGGGCACGCTCACGGCCACCCCAGCGTCGACCTGCCGGGCTCCGGCGATCCATCTGCCTCAGCCTTCCAAGTGGCCGGAACCACAGGCGCACGCCACCAGGCTCATTTTATTTTTATTGTAGAGACCCCGGCTCAGGCAGTCCACTCGCCTCAGCCTCCTAAAGTGCTGGGATGACAGACTGAGCCACCGAGCCTGGTCTGATTTATTGTTTTACAATGTGGCTTACCTACTCTTTGACCCCTAAGAAACTTTGTTGTTGTTGTAAAAAATTTACTTAAAAACCCAATGGCATTTTCAGTGTTTCTGCAATGGAATTACAGTCCTAATACGAAACGTGTGTCTCCAGAAGGATTTTGTCTTTTTTTTCGTGGGAGGCAGTGCTCCCAGAGCAGCATCTGCACAGACCCATGAAGAGAGGAGCAAGGGGGTGTGTGAGGGAGCCTGCCACGTCGTCAGATGGCTTCACGCGGCCACTGCAGTCTCCGCGGGTCCCAGACTCAGCCTCTTCTCCAAAATCTCCATTCATTCACAAATATCCAAGCTCAAATTCTGGCCTTACCCCACCGCGTGCAGCCAAACCAGCTTCCCAGAGAAAGAAGACGCCCTCGTTTGTAGTGTCTGCTGGTGCTGGAGATGGAAAAGTTCCCACCCAACTGACGGCAAGTGCTAATGTGCTGTCGCCCAGACGCAGTTGGGAAGGGAGAGGCGATGCCTCCCAGCTCCGCTGAGCAGACACAAGCAGCCACGGCAGCTCCCTCGTGTTTCCTCCCTCTTGCCCTCCCATGTCTCTTCAAGCACACGGACACATGCCCTTTTTTTTTCTTTTTTCTTTTGCGTTGCAGTGCGATTCCTTCACCTCCGTTCCTCCCATCCACCCTACGGGTGCTGCCCGGGCCATCTCGTACCAGGACCCTTGCAACCTCCTCCTGACTGGCTTCCTGCACTGTGGCCTCCTCCCAGCTGATTCTCCCAACAGCCACCGGTTCCCTCCTCAGGCACCACCACACACAACTCAAAGAGCTCACTGGCTGATGGTGGCTCTTCTTCTGTTCAGAATCACTCAGGGACTCTCGGACGTCCATGTGACAAAGTTAAAGTCCTCGAGTTCAGTCTCCTGTCATTTGGTCCCATCCTGTCTGTATGTTTCTCTCTCTCTCTCTCTCTCTCTCTCTCTCTCCACCCCTCCCATCCTTCAATCTACCTATCTATCTCCTATGCCTCAAGATTACAGCTTCTCATTCTCACAGGCCCGGGCCACCTAGCACTAGAACAATTTGATATACAGGAAAAGTATGCAGTGGAAACCTTATAGACTAAGTATCGAGAGCAGGAATATTCTAACGGAGTACTTAGTCCAAATATCAGTTGACGCTAATTTTTCTCGAGTCCCAGGCTGGAGTGCAGCAGCACAGTCACAGCCGCCACAGCCTCCCGAGGAGCTGGGCCTTCAGGCGCTTGCCGCCACGCCCGGCCCGTTTGTCTCATTTTATTTAACGTCGCGAGCGAGAGGAGGGCTCGCTGTGCTGCCTAGGCTGGCCTTGAACTCCCGCTCAAGCAGCCCTCCCGCCTTGGCCTCCCAAAGTGCTGGGATTATGTCGATGGCAAGATCCTTGAAACTGGACAGTAACTTACATTGTTTTGTATTTTCAAAACCACCTAGCCAGTTTCTTGCCCGAGAGTCACTCAAATATTCACCTAAGTCCAATGCTAAATTGACTAGACTTATAATGTTGATTATAAATCTAGGGCCATCTACCTCTTTCAGCCTGGAGCTTCTTTTTGTTGTGTTAATAAAATGAAATCACTGGTTTACTTCAACTAGAAGTATAAATCCATGCTTTCGTGTGCCATGGGATAATTCTCCAGAATTGTAAAGGAGATCAATAATCAACAAGGCACAAAGAACACTATTTAAAATACACATGCACACAAGTACGCATAAGATTTTGTGCTGGGTATATGGGTGTTCATCCTAAAATTTTGTCAATTTTGTGCGTGTTTAAAATTTTTCTAGCCGGGCTCGGTGGCTCAGCCTGTAATCCTGTGCCTTTGGGAGGCTGAGGTGAGTGGATTGCCTGAGTCCGCGGGTTCGAGACCCCCCTGGGCAGCGAGACCTCATCTCTACAATAAATAAAAAAATCAGCCGGGCGTGGTAGCGCACGCCTGTAGTTCCGGCTACTCGGAAGGCTGAGGTGAAAGGATCGCCGGAGCCCAGCAGGTCGAGGCTGCGGTGGCCGGGAGCGGCCACTGCACTCCAGTCTGGGCGACAGAGTGAGACTCCAACTCTAAAAAAAAAAAAAATTTCTTACTAATATTTTGGGGAAAAAGTAGGATATTGCAGGCCATTTAAACTCCCTGTTTCTTTGTAAGATGAGCCACTAAATTAAGTGTTCCTGGAGTCCCTCACCAGGCCAATGAGTTATCATCTCAGGATATGGTCATTACTTGGAAGCTGGAGAACAAGAGACAGGAACTGGTGAAAAGTGAAGGATCCCAAGCTCTCCAGGGAAGCAGAGCCTCGCAGCTGTGGCTTTCCTGTGCGGTCTTCGAGGTAGGGCCCTGTGCAACTTGGGGACGTCTGTCCCCCACTCCCAGGACTGTGCCTGGGCCCTGGTAGGCATTCAGCACCCATGTGTAAACTGAATGCATGAACAACGGTTGACTTTCACGTCAAGTCTGGGTGACAAGATGGTTTGTGCTTCATTTTAACCTTTTGGTTGAAGAAAGGACAGAAGAGCTATTTAAGACATACTCAAGTAGTGCTCTTTTCAAGCACTGAAAAAACACTTGACTCCATTAAAAAAAATTCTATCATAAAAATTTTTTACAGCTGGGCACAGTGGCTCAGGCCTATAATCCCAGCATTTGGGAGGCTGAGGCGAGAGGATTGCCTGAGTCCAAGGGTTCAAGACCCACCTGGGCAACTTGCCGAGGCCTTGTCTCTCCAATAAATCAAAACATTAATCACAACATTAGCTGGGCATGGTGGTGCATGCCTGTCATTCCAGTTGCTTGGAAGAATGAGGTGGAAAGGATCACCTGAGCCCAGCAGGTCGAGGCAGTGGTGGCCATGAGCGTGCCACTGCACTCCAGCCTGGGTGACAGAGTGAGACTCCGACTTAAAAAACAAACAAGTAAATAAATAATAAATAAAATTCTTTTTACAAATGTAAGATGCACGTGGTAGTCCTTGCCCCCAGCCCAAATTACTTCCAGAAATAAATGTAAGGCCTGTGCCCTCCTTCTTCATCCCTTGGCTTTATGCATGGACGACACCCAAAGAGACAGGACGTCCACTGGCACATTCACCTGGAGGTGAGAGCTGCCACCAGCCACACCTTCACAGGAGCAGCTTTTCAAGTGTTGGAGGCAAAACAAAACCACAAATCGCCACCAAGAGAAGGCTCATATCCTACAGCTGCCGTGTGTGAAGATGCTGTAAATGACAGCAGCTAACGCTGTCCTCGGGGCTTTCAACTGGTGCGGTGGGTTCAGCCTGCTAACAACCTGGGAGGTTAATTCATCTCAGCCTCGTAAGACTCCCACACGATTAATGCATTTGCCCCCTGTAACAACCCTGTGAGACAGGGTTTCCATCTCACAGATCAGGGACAATGCCACACCAAGAGGTAGGCTATGCCGCCTATCCAAGGTCACACAATAGGGAAGTGGAAAAGCTGGGCCCTGAACTCAAGCTGTGGGCTCTGGATCCGTGCACATCTCAAGGATGCGCTACCACCCTGTCAAACAGGAACTCTGCTCAGCTGTTTTGCCGGTCTATGTTTATTTTTTATTTTTTTAATTTTTTTTTGAGTTGGAGTCTCACTCTGTCACCCAGACTGGAGTGCAGTGGCCGGAATTACAGGCGCGCGCTACCACGCCCGGCTAATTTTTTTATTTTATTGTAGAGATGAGGTGTCGCCTGCCCAGGCGGGTCTCGAACCCGCGGGCTCAGGCAATCCACTCACCTCAGCCTCCCAAAGGCGCGGGATTACAGGCTGAGCCACCGAGCCCAGCCGGTCTATGTTTTTTAATCCAGTGAAGATAACATTTTTTTCCTAATTAAAATAAAACAAGCAGGCTGGGCATGGTGGCTCAAGCCTGTAGTTCCAGCTCTTTGGGAGGCCGAGGCAAGAAGACTGCCTGAGCCCAGGGGTTCAAGGCCAGCCTGGGCAACTTGGTGAGACATTGTCTCTGCAATAAATCAAAAAACTAAACTGGGTGTGGTAGCAAGCGCCTGTGGTTCCAGTTACTTGGAAGGCTGAGGCAGAAGGATCTCCTGAGCCCAGCAGGTCAAGGCTGTGGTGGCCGTGAGCATGCCACTGCACTCCAGCCTGGGCGACAGAGTGAGACTCTGACTTAAAAAAAGAACACACAAAAATAAAAATAAGACAAGCAAACACCATCCCCAGACAGAGCCTTACTCTAGTAATTCAGAATTAGGTTTTACCTTGAGTCGTTTTTAGAAGTTCATT